GCAGGTAATGATGAGGACTTCCACCTGAGGGGTGAAGACTTGTGCTATAAGCAGAAGAGTGTGTGTCTACCGCCAGCGAGCGAAGACGCGTTGCAGCAGCTGCGCGTGGAAAGCCGACGTGTTAGCGGCGAAGAAGTTTGGGGCCTGGAGAGTGGCCAATTGAAGACGCGAGGCTTCCTGGAAGAGAAACTTCGGCGGCAGGGGACCGACAACAGCGCCGTGGTCTATGAGTGACTGATTCTTGGAAGAGTATCATTCACACTTTGTTCCAAGGACTTTGGACTGAATAAGTTTTCGAAATCTTTAGTTTTTAAGTGTCTTGGTTGTTCGATGCATGTGATTGCATTGTAGCGCGTATTGTTTGTGTCCGCTGTTTCGAGTGTAGCTGATTGTATACCATGTAGTACGTTGTTTGATTGATGTCATATCGTATTCAACTAATGTCGAGTGTGCATATTTGAGTATTGTTTGATCTCCATATTTGAGAATATCATCTCGTTTTGTTGATCAAATCTCGGCTCTGACTCGTTCTTTGGACCACAGCCGGCGTCCGCTGGCGCACCAAATAGGACCACTTCTAAATTGTCCGCGCTTTCGTGGTGCAGTTAAGGGGGCCGATACTTCGGCCCTTGGAATTAGCCCGGCGATCGCCTCCGTAATTAACGGGACGTGTGACAACCGACTGGTTTCAGTTCGCGGTACTGGTTTGTGCGCTTAGAATGTACGCGGAAAGACGCTCGAAACTGTGATTACGGAACATCAGAGATTTCGCATCGCTGTTTCGAATAAACAAAACTGGAGTGCAGCAACTCAAATTAAGATTGTTACTCTCCGTTGGCTTTTGTTGCGTGCTCGAATGTTTCAGAGCAAATTGCTGTATGTGGCTCTTTTACGTTGACCGATCAGCCGGGGGACTCGCGATGCAAGGAGACGCAGCAATGCATGCCTTCGATTCATTGTGTGCGTGCGTCGTTAAGGAAGCTCACACATCCATGTCGTTTGGCACGTTAATTTATTTGACATTTCGTTAGGAGCCTGGTCGCGCAGCACATCAGCACAGAAAGCCACACGAGCCCTCCTGAGATACTTGTCAACAACTTCATTGAGGGACCGCCTGTGAAACTCAACATTGTTTGTGTGATGTGACATGTGTCTATCCTTCTCTCTCTCTTTTACTCCCCTCTCCCCCTCCCCATGTGTAGGGTAGCAAACTGGACGCATAGTCTAGTTAACCTCCCTACATTTCCTACATTCCCTCTCTCTCTCTCTCGTGTGAAGATCCGCGAGTGGAGCTCTCGCGAAGTAATCGCGTTTGGTGGCCCGCTAGTTGATTCATATGCTAGCTCATTCTTTAGGCGATATAGTTCATACGTGAGATACGTTCACAAGGCGCACTTCTCAAACATGATTGGTGCGTCTAACCACTTCACAAAACAACCACAGCTGTTCGAATGTATCATCTTTGCGCCTTCTGATACATAATCAAGGCTTTAGATGCCTCACGGAACGCTTAAATTGGCCGTCGGCGACATCACCTTTTCACGTGGAAAGGGTCAACGCGAGTTGTTGCTTTCATTGAATTACAGTCACTGTGAATGCTCTCTGCACATATTGTGTACCCTATACGCGGTGAAGCTTGCACCATCAATGTGCTGAGTAAGAAAAGACAGTCGCACTGTTCCTTCGGGTGCAAACAGCGTGCGAACAAGCATTCGAACAGCGCTGTGAGGGTGTGCTTCATATGACGCACCCATTACAACGCTCTCGGACACATTTAATCATGATCATTGTCAGCAAAAGCATAAAGAAAGTGAGAGGCTGCATAAGTTCGCCTGTTGCCTTAGGGACGCGTAGTAATCCGTTCGCTCATTCGAAAAAAGAAATATGGTGTAGAGGGCATATAAAAATTAAACATGCAGTATGCATTCCAGGACAGTTTGAAACAGCAAGTGTTACGCTCAGGGATGTTAGTGTCCTTGTGGCGCGATTGAGACATACACCAAGAACCAAAGCCAAGCTATCAATTTAGAAAGCGATATGCACGAGGCCCGATCGCGTTATCACGCTGTACTCTTGAAAGCGTAGCTCAAGCGTCCTCCAATTTTCTGTTCTTGGTCGACATCGGTGAGGGTCTCGTGGGTCTATTCCGCAGATCATCAACCCCGACTCTGTAGTGAGTCAAACAATGGAAACACAGTCATCGTATTCTACAAAGTGTTACGCTGCTTAGCGTGTGTTGTTGGATAATCCGTCGAGAGCTGTTTTAATAAGTCTGTAGGCAGGATCGCTGTTGTGTAAAAGACACTAAAGAATGCCGATGTGTTCGTTGCACTATGGTGTGCAACTGCGTTCGTATGTTTCGTGGGCGTAATGGAGGTCGTTCATTGTCAGGTATTCTGCCCGTTAGGAATGAACACATTGATCGCTTATTAGAGAGAGAGCAAAAAAACTTCATTGTGTGTAGTATATACAAGCAGTATATAGGTAGAAGGTGGCCCGGTGCGAGCCACTCCTCACAAACACTAGGTGGGCTCCTTAGTGCAGAAGCCCACTGGCGTCCAACGCGACTCAGCTGCTGGCTCAGTTGACCAGGGTCTTCTGGCTCGCCAGGTCGGAGCAGTCAAGCAGGGCTATACCTTCCAGTTCTCCCGGGTAGGGCCCGGTTCTAGGGCAAGGTTCGGGGTGGACTGGCATACCCACACCATGTAGAAGATGGCCGAAGATTTCTTTGCACAGTGAGGGCATTTTCCTGTGCAGGCATGATCGAGGTATTTTAAAACTGCCGGGCACAGCTGTGTTTTAGTGTAACGGCGAAGTAGTACACGTTCCTCCGCCTTTGTAAGGCCTTTACAGGGTTTCGGATAAATTGCGAAGCCTAATCGGTAGATTTCAGTATCTGCTCAAAATGTTAAAGCCGTATTAGGTTCGAAATTGATTTGGGAAGAGTCTGCAGTCGTTACCCGAGGGCGAGCGTGCGGGCGTCGTCGCCGACCGTTTCATTGCCTTCGAGGTCCATGTTAGCTGGAGCCCATATGATCCTACGACACGCGGGGTCCACGGCGTAATTGTTGGCTTGTAAGATACGGCACGCCAGGTGTGGGATGTACCCGTTTCGAATGTTTCTGCAGTGCCCTCTCGGGTGTTATTGATGACGCGCGAGTCCGGGTCTGCGGGAGCTAGTGCGATGGCGACTTCCTCCACAAGTGTCATGTCCTGTTTTGAATGTGAGGCCATTCACCGCGACGTTTTGGTGCACAACTGCAGCCGTGTACCACCTCCCATGGTGAGGGCCGGAGAAATGTTCGTAGAAGATTCCATGTTTGTTCCCATAGTGGTGGGCCAGGGCCTCCGCGCGTGGAAGACGTTGCCCGGAAGTGGGCGCACATGCAGGAGAGCGTAGACTTTTGGGCCTCGTACGCGCTCTTCCGTTTCTGTTCGGTGTAGGATGTGTAGTCGGGCAAATAGGCGACCCATAGTCTGCCGTTTCATAATAGAAGAAGCATTCGGAATTCTATGCTGAACGCTTCACGCTGCACTACTCAAAACAACACACCTCTCAGATCTTTCAGGCATTCTATGATAGCCACCGGAACTTCTGCGTGACTTTCTGCGAATTTCGACGAATCTCAAGGGCACGAGCATGTTAATTCTCTGGATATGCACTTGATAAACCACGTGATTTACCACACCTTGACTATTTGTTTAAAATTATTTCACACACTAAGCCTCCAGTCTACGCGCACGCAAATAAAAGCCCCAAATCTCTCTACAGTGCAGCTCAAAAGCAGACTGAAAAAATGTATTATAGATTTTATACTTCTTGTTAACTGACATCTCCGCTGACACTCGTTATCTCCGTCATAAACCTTGTCATATGATAGGGTTACTGCTCGTTCAGCATTTCCCTTTATTCGATATTTTATATTTAGTCTAAAATTCGAGTGCTTTCAGCTTCTTAGGTTCTTACCTTGAACATTATGCTGCCCGGTTCTGGTCAATTCTCATTTCGGATACGCGGAACACAGAGAACGCCTAATTATCGAGTGGTGAGCAAGCACAGAAGGCTCGGGAGCAATCGAGAAATCAAATCCTTTGCCTAAGCCTTTTTGAATCCTTTTACTTTTTTTCGCGTCATTTACTGTATTCTCTTTCATTTTTCATGTCGCATAGCGTTTCAGTTTCCCTTTAGAATCGACAGCGTAGCCAATACCCATCGTGGGTATGGCCTCAGGCGACAAAACAGAAGAAAACCAACGTGTGATGGCAGCAATAATCACGAGGACGGAATACAATCACCTAAAATATCCATGGAAATCACGGTGGAGCCATTCTCCACAATCAGAAGTGATGATCACCAGATTTCGATGTCGTGTCCCCCCATTGAACTTTTACTGGTACAGGGCTGGTCCGACGATATAACCCCTCTGCAAATTCTGTGGAAAACTGGAAGATATCGCAAATTACTTTTTGTCATGTGCAAGATAGTCTCGAGTCAGAACTCGACTTCTAATTACTCCTTTTACAAAAATAGGCTTAACCTTATCGGAGGAAAACGTTTTAAGCTTCGGTGCCTCAGGTTTGGGATACTGCCACAAGTATGCCTTTGATGTCGTTTGTAATTTCGTTATAACTACTCAACGAGTACCATTTTAATCAGGTATTTAAAATTCTGCGTCATTTCGTTAAGTTTAAACTTAAATTTTCAAAATTGTTCCCGTCCGGTTACTACAGCAGTCTGGAATACAAGCTCAAAAGCATTATACTTGTTAAATTGAATATTTTACGTATAATTACCATTTAATTTCTTTATTTTTGACTATAAAGTTCATAGCTTACCTAAAACAATATTTAACAGCTTCTACGTTGCATTCTTGGCCAATCCCCCAAAGTGGGTACGTGCCATGTATCTTGGAAAACAAAGCAAAGCAAAGCAAAGAAAGCAAAGTGATGGCACGTCCCGGACCATCATAAGTTCTACGTCTACATTTGCCGCCTAAACCATGTTCCGGTCCATCAGCAACATCTTCAGGCGAATCGCTGAGTTCGAAGACGAAGGGAGCGAAGGTGAGGATACAACAGACGCCTCTGACTCGGTCGAGGACGGGAAGGAGGAACCTACTGAAGAGTGCGTGTTGACTGTGCTGCGACACATCGCAGAGCTCAATGACCACCGGTTTCACGGTGTATTCGTCGAGCCCGAAGACGACGACGTGACTAAGATCCACGCCCTCGTTCTAGGATCTGTCGGCACACCCTACGAAGGAGGCTTCTTCCACTTCGTGCTCCGTTGTCCCTCGGACTACCCTGCGCGGCCTCCGCTGGTGAGCCTGATGACCACGGACTCGGGTAGAGTGCGGTTCCATCCGAGCATCTACGAAAACGGCAAGGTGTGCCTGCCGCTACTGGACGCAGACACGACCGGACCTACGTGGACACAGGACCACAGCATCGCGAACGTGGTCTCCGCCATCAGGTGGATGTTGTCTGATGAGAATCCCGTCGAAGCAGGATCGGCTTTCGGTGTTCTACCAACCGTAGGGACGTGGCTGAGACGCGACATCTGCTACAACACCGTACTGCAGCACGAGACCATCAGGGTCGCGGTGTGTGACGCAGTTGAAGACTGTCTCAGGGGCAGTTCCCCTTGCCCGAACTCACTGAGGAAAGTAATCTTGAAATACTTCCCGCAGTTTTACTGCCAGTACGAGAAGGTGGTCTGGGAGCGGCTGTCCATGACGGGTTCCTTCATGAACGACGCGCTTCACGGTGGCATCGCTGTGTACCAGTACAAGACGTTACTGGAGCGTCTGCAAGACCTGCGCATGCGAACAATCTCGAGAAATTAATATTTATGCTGTGTGCATCAGGTTGCGTCGAAAACATTAGTGCTGAAAACTACACAGGCGTTTAATCCCTCAAAGTAGGAAGCTGCGCAGCCGCTGCCATTCTTCGATTCTGGCAATCTGCAACCCATATTTTTTTGTCATCGGGAACTAAATTAAATGACGGCACTCCTGCACAGGTTTTGATTCGAACACTGTATACTCTAATTCCTTTGCCACTATATTGTACTGGGTGTTTCCGGAAATGGGTGCGGGACCCTCAGAAATGAGGGAAATGCGATGTTTGTTTGACGCATTCACCATCAGTTCTGTAGCCAGCCGCATACACCTTAGGGTGCTTAAGGACATAATTTGGGACAGTAGTTGAGAAAAATAACTTTTTAATCATTCTAGTTGGGTGATTGTGTCAAATGAGACAATTGATTAACTTCACGTGAAGAACCCATTGCAGACTTGAAATTTCGAAAGAGCGGTATCTATAGTAACAATTACGAATTAATGAAATTCTCCGAGAGTCAGTGGCAAAACCAATTGCGAAGCACCTATGAGCGTAAAAATCAGACGAGCTGAGTGACGTCACTGCTCAAGACAACGATTACAGAGGTGTGTGCAGTCCTTCCGCGCTCATTAACGTATGTAGGCCACTCGAGCTTTAAATGCAAGCACAGCACAGACACACCTGACATAACGACACTCACTTCTTCTGGACGTCTCGGAAGACAATGGCAGTTGGACTCTTCCACATTTCAGTTTAGGCTTCACCACTGAATATGGGTCAATTTCGACTATATTGCAGTTATTACAAGAAACTGATTTTTCAAATATGAGAGCTGCAATGGGTTCTGTACTTGAATGACTTCAATCCTCCCGTTTAAAATATCCGCCTCACTCTACTAATTAAAAACTATTAAATTAACTGCCTTCAATGTTCACTTTAGCCATCTTAAAATACCTTTATACAGAAGTAAATATGGAGGCATTCGCAAAATATCACATTTCCTTGATTTTTTTAGAATATTGGACACACAGTTGTGATAAAACTCGGCATACTACGTTTCTGCAGTTATTAACAAGCAAAATTTCAAAGTCTTCCGATTCACTGACCTGAACAGGAGAGCTTGCGATGGGCAAAAGTTCTCCTTTACTAATAATTAAAGCCAATACTGCTGATCAAGAGCAAACGGAAGCGAAGCATCTGTCGCAGTTTACTGTGTTTCCTATAAAACCTGCACATTTCACCTCACATGGAGATGCACTGTACGATTTAATGTCATCAACTCACTTTAAGCTAACGAGCGCGCGTGTATTCACCTGTCTTTGTCGGGAATATAGGATTTGCACTGGACTGCTCTATGCATGGTCGTTCAAATTCAGACATTTATGTCTATTAGGCCTATTAAGGGTTATATACGTAGTTGAAACTGTAGGGCTGTGTTCCAGTTCTAAACAGCATGGCAGACAGTCTACGCTGACAGCTTAGAAGACAGCATTGAACACATGTTGTTTGAGAAATGCAACACGTCTAGGCGGATTATACGCGACGAGACACCAACTCACGTCGAGAAGAGAAAGCTAAGATAAACAAATGTAACTGTTAATTTTTAAGCTTATTTTGTGCTGGAATCTAAGAAAAAATGAACGTCACTCACATTGAGCATCTGGAAAAGCGCCTGCTTGTGTGCAGGCGACCCTTCCGGCGAAATCGGAGCTATTCGAGCGATTCGCTGAGCCGTGATCTTGTTTGGACAGCAAAGTATAGCCTGCGTCGTGTTTGTGTACAATCCCATCTTCTCAAAGCTGCCTATTTTTCCGGCTACGTGAGAATTGGAATGACATTTGAGATGGCCGCTGTCCACATTGCTGTCTATTTAGCCATCTACGGTGAGTATCAGAACACATCCTATATTTAACAAGCTTACGGCAACACTCGAATCCTACTTGGTCTAATATGGGAGCTTGTACAGCAAAAAAAAAGCTATTTTATTGTTATTTGAGACTTAAAATTCCAACGTAACTGCCGAATGCTATATTTTAGCACATTGTATTTCGTTCTAGCTTGCGCCTTCTTTTGTGCAAAGTCGACGATGGAGGGCCAGACGCACAGCCTCTTACGTCGGCCGGACATGGAGTCTTTCATGTCCTGGCGTTACATTTCCAGTACGCGGCCGGTGTGTATCCACACAACGGACGTAATCCGTCTTTTTCAAGGCGGACGGCGCATCACGTCACCACGCGTCACAGATTTGGGTCATCCGTGTCGGGTCCGCGGACCTCATGTACGGAAAGTGCCAAGCTCTTTGTCGCATGCGAATTTGCGCGGACAAACACAGAAGATTTAGCCGAAGGTGCAATTACTTTTTAAATGCGAAGTGTCTTAAGGTCGAGGTCAATCCGGTGTGCGGCGTGACCACAATTACAGCGCATGCGCGCCCTTCCCGCTTTTTCCTCTCCTACACTCCCTTCTCTCTCGGCTCGCAACACCGACGCAGGCATCGTCCGCTGGCCTATAGACGAGAGCACGCCCTCGCACCTAGGCGCCTTTCGCGGTATAACCTCGCTCCCAGAGACGCCATAATTTGTTTGCAACTGCCAACTCACTAGTATGGAATGCAGTGGCTCTGGGAGCTTAAAACGCGAAAAAGCGTCTGTTCACGCTGCGCCCGCTTATAAAATGTAATCTGGGTACCACTGCACTGTCATATGAAGCGACAACAACCAGCACAAGAGGAAGATACTGCTGAGCACTGCCTGTGAAGTTCACAGCGCATCGCGGGAATCGTGCCGGTGCGGTGTTTTTGCGATGGCACAGATCTCCGTCCACAACGAAAAACGCAGAGCTCCGCCACCTCAGGATATAATCGCAATCAGCAGGAAAAACTACGAGCCCAGTGTACAAGTAAGTGCAAGTGTACAAGTAAGTATGCTTATTGTGTTTACTGAAGCGCGACGTCAGCTGTTTCAATTTACAGCAGTGATTTACGTGCAGTATGGCTGTACCATGAGACACAAAACTATTGCCGTACTCTTCCGCAGGCCACATGTCAATAATAGGATATAGGTATTACAACTCACGCGTGGATGCACGCACCGCGCATGTTTAGTACAACTGCAACGGCCTACTATCGCGATGAATAAACGGCGCGGAAAGCATGACTTTCAACTCGGTCGAACTGCGACATACCTTGACTGTCCTTAGGCGAATCTATACATGTGCTTTCGGCCGGCGTTGCCGTAGCATTTTAAAATCTTGTTCTGGCTGGCACTTTTGCAGCGCACGTGTGTTCTGAGTGCCCGGCAGGACTGGCAATTGATACACGTGCGGTGCATAAGCGTAAGTTGGAATCAGATTCTAGCGCCACGTTGACGCCGGCTTACAGCACAAATTCTGTCTTGTCACAGCCAAGGCACGCCGAAGTTCGACTGAGTCGAAAGCAACGCTTTCCGCTGTTCGCGTTTCTTTCAATCACAATAGTACGTGCCTGATGAAGCTGCTTCCGTAGTCTGCAATGCACGTGCTGCAGACATTCCGGATTGTCGAGGAAGGTCTCCTCAACGTTTCACACGAAATCAGCATAAAATTCAAGCACAGGAACAGCGTGAAACATGCTTACAGCCGGACTCGAGTTGTGAAGTTTCGCGTCTGATTTGCAGAGCGTCTCCTCGTCGCCTGGCACTTGAGAGTGTTGCTTCACCGCGCTTGCAAAAGACGGCGCCACGCGCTTTTCAAAATGGCAGCAAGCACTGAGCTCACCGTATTCTGGTGTATAGGAAGTCAAAGCAACGCATGGTGGTGCTGGGACTCCGGACAGGCAGCGCCATCCTTGGTAGAAAAGTGGAAATTGGGGATGTAGATGGCGCGTTTTTCCTTCGCTCCAATGCGCTGCCGCTCGCTTACGTACTCGTGGAAAGAGCGCGCACTGCGTTTGAGTCACCTCACAATGTACGGCCTGCCGTGCGGCTTCACAAAGATCTCTGAGCTGGACCAGCACTTCCGAGAAGCGAATCGAACCAAAGGAGTAAAGCTCGTTAGTCAAGTTTATGGTGTGGAGCAGACGGCGGAAGACGAGGACGCCCGAGTCACTGCGATATGCATTTCTAGGGTCCTCCGTGATAATATCGTGTACGACGTAAGCCTCAAGGTAGGTCTCATTCTGCCGACATGAAGCCGCGTACTCTATCGATGTGTTGTGTTGACGTTTATGGAAAGCATATATTTGTTGTTTTTATGTGGTATCTAGCTGTAGCAGCCGTGTACTGTCTTGTGCAAACGTTTGCGGCGTGCTGAAAAAATAAATAAAAACTAAAGTGATAGGGTCATGGCATGACAACGTCCGAAAATTTTTAAAGTCGTGTCCTCCGTGCCGCGCATGATCCGCTGACGTCGCCACAAGTTTAACCACAGTGAGTCAAGTTGAAGTGCTCTCCTTTTTTTTCCGGCCTTAGTGTCACGCTTGCTCTATGTTTCGCAAACGCGGCTGTGTTCGCTGTTGCGAAGCGCGCCTCCGACGACGTTACGAAGGGCGCCACGAATCTCACCGCTGCAACCACTGTTTACGAAAGACGGCGACGCAAACACGGTCCCGAAGGCGCCACTGCTTCGAACTCCACCGGGAAGGTCACCAGCCGTTTGGTAGCATAGGTTTCTCAGCTCCCGACTGCTTCTGCGCAGAGCTGATAGACGAGCGGACGAGACGACGGTGAGTTAAACAAGGTTTATGTACAGCATATTGTTACGTGAGTAACGAGACAAAGTATTGCGAATATATTCGAAAAATATATTTGCAAGAGCGGTTGCAGCACTGGCCAGTCTGGCTCCGAGCTCGAGCAGCCAGCGAGCCTCATCTTCTTCGTCGGGCGCACACGCGCATTCGCACTATGGTTTGTGGCAGCCTACAGGTAGCATAACCCCCGTCGGCAAAGGCGCCGTCTCGGCGCATCTAGATGTCAAGATCATTGGGCGAGTGGTACTGCTTCAGGCGTGCGACGTGTACGATGTCGCTGGC